TTGTTTTAATCAAAACCTAAAGAAACAATGGTGTCAGAAAAGCTTACACTTTGCCAGCAGCTATATAGGATTAATTTTTGATGTACTGGGAATTGCAATGGCACAGATTGTAAAATATGCGCCACTAAATACACTGTCCACTTGTTTGTTTAAATCTCAAACCACAAATGAAGTGGTTTGAGATTTAAATAGTCATTTGTGCTCACTTTAATTGTGTTTATGTAACAGAGCACTCACTGCCAGGTTGTGAGCATAGCACATAACCTGTGTTAACTCTGTTCCACCAGATGAGAGTATGGGTATTTTGCCTTAGAAAACAAGATGTTTCTGAGCAAGTGCATTTCCACATTCCTCCTCCACCACAAAAGCTCACCTGCATTCTAGACGTCACAAAATAAGCAAACTGCTTTGTTTAGCTTTCCATAGCATGGATAAATCACTGTCAAAATGCCTCTTCACTGATGGCATTTTTGTTTCTGGCTTCACTTCCATGTGTATGGGAGATGCTGAAAGCCTCAGAGTTGCTGCTGGTGTTCCTGGTCACCCAGTGCCACCCCTGCCCTCCTGGAACATGCTCCTGTGCAAAGGGACAGCGAGCTCTTCCACCCCACAGCCCTCTGCCTAGCATGGTCTTGTGGATGTGAGATTTGGGTTGAGCAGCTGGTGGGAACCAGAGGCTCCATGAGCCCCATCTCATAGGAGGAACACTGGAGTCTGGCCAGCAGGTGAAGCATGAAGATGCCCAGGACCTCTGCCAGAAGTGGCAGAGCCCAGTAACCATCACCACATGGGATTCTCCTGCCAGAAAGCTTTCCCCATGGAAACAGCCTGCCAAAACTGATGTAGAGGCCTGTTTGTCAGGAGATACCCTGAGCAACCTGCAGCAATTGTGGTTTGCTTGTGCACAGAGGTCCACATGACCATCACAGTGTATTAAGGGAGTCTCCATAGACACAGCTGTATTTATCTCCTGATGACTCAAAATCCCCATCGAGAGGAGAAGCCTGAAGGTGCGATGGAAGATTTACCAGAGTCATTCAGGAAACATGAGGCAAAGCCAAGGCTCAAAGCACATCACCACAGCCACAGTGGAGCATACCTCTGCCTTCCCCTTAGGTCTTCTTGCAGGGCTCCAGCAGCAAATGTGTTTTAAAATTCCTTCTGCCACTAAGCAAACTTCCCATTCCCTCATATGGGGGGATTGTTCTTGACCCCAACCATGAGACCACATGCCAGTTCTAATGAACTTTTCGTATCTCCATGGTCCACTTATTGCCTAGTCGATCCAAGACTGTGGGGAGGTCTTTGGAGGCTTTCCAACCTTGACCGTGGCTAATGTGATACAGTGACAGTAGTGGTCTTGCTCCAAGCAGCAGGTTGGGCCACAGACTATTGAAGGCCTTTCCCAACAACACGGAACTTCTCTTCCATGCCTCTACGCTGCCTTTATGTCTTCCTACAAGTTACTGGGCACATCAGCAGTTGGCCTTTTCCAACAAAACCTCAAGAACCATTTTCCTTCCCCAGGAGCAGCTCTCCCTGTCAGAACTTGGTTCGTAAGGGCCTAAGGGGACATTGACACCATGTCTCCCGTGCCTATCAAGCCTTCTCCAGCAATTGCTAGGACCATCCAGACAGGCAGGGCTGAGTCACAGCAGCCCTTACAGAATGCGCTCAATAGGAGGAGCATGCAGGTCTGAGCTAGGGGACCTCATGCCCAAGGAGGATGGGTATGAGTGGCACTCAGCTGTCGCACAGGCTCCTTTCCCATGCTTCAGGTGAGAGTTCCAGCTTCACATGCTCCTGTGCTGCTCCGTGTGCTGTGCCATGCAGACAGGGATATGCACAGTCTCAACCCACTGTCCTGTGGCCCCTCTCTTTCACATGCAGGGATGTGGGTGGTTCCATCGCACCCTGCAGTGACTCAGACACCCCCAGTCCTCCATGCAACCAGAGACACGAGTGTTCCATGCCCATGTGTGCCCCAAGCAGGCAGGGACACCAGCTGGCCCTGGCCCCTTGGTCCCCCATGTAGATGGGAACATGTCCCCCCATCTCATCCTGTGCCTTGTACCCAAGCAGATGGGGACACCGGTAGCACAGGACTCTGGTTCCTGTTCCCATCATGATCCCATCCCACCCTGTCCATCCCACAGCAAACAAACGCGCGCCCCGATCCCTTCCACCGCCGCACTTAGGGCCCCGTTCCCAGCTTGTGTCCCAAGACGGGTGTAGCACGGACCCCTGCCCCCTCCACTGGCGACAACGCGCGCAGCCCAACCCCGCCGCAGGCAGCCCCGTGTGTAGCCCCAGCTCCCAGCTCCCTGCCGGAGGGAAGCGGGACACGCGTGGCCGCGGTCCCCCAGACCCACCCGCTGCGCACGCAAGCGGGGACCCGCGCGGCCGCTGCGCTCACCGATGCGGCGGTACGGAGGGGCCGTGCGGTGGTGCTGCAGTGTGGGGCCGTTCAGCGGTGCAGGGGGGCTGCGCGATGGGGCTGTGCGACGGGGCGGGCCCGCCAGGATTTACATAGGGCTCCGCACCCACCGCCGCCTATAAGAGCGCTGGACGGGACGGTGCCGACTGAGCCCCGCTGCTGCCGCTGCCACCGCCAGCAGGTAAGTAAGTAAGTAAGTAAGCAAGCAAGCAAGCAAGCAAGCAATCAAGCAGGTAGGGTAGGTAAGTAGGTACATAGGGATAGATAGATGGTAGCTAGCTAGATAGCTAGATAGATATGTAGGTAGAAAACCAGATAGGAAGTTAGGTAGGTAGGAAGGTGGGTAGGTAGGAACGTAGGAAGGTGGGTAGGTAGGAAGGTAGGTAGGAAGGAAGGTGGGTAGGTAGGAAGGAAGGTGGGTAGACGGAAGGAAAGGGCTGCTGCCCCCAACACTGTCCTGCCTGTGCCCCACTGCTCACCCACTCCTGAGGAAAGCAGACCACGGATGCTGCCCACCTGGCTGGAGGGGTGCCAGGCAAGGGTGGGAGGAGAGGGTACATCCCCACCTTGAGTTGACCTGGCTGCTTTTCCTATCCCGATTTGACCTTCTCACAGGAGCAGGAAAATGCAGGGAAATCCACTCCCTCCCTTCCCCCCGCTGCCTCATCCCTAAATTCTAGCTCTGATCATTTAGTTTCCATGGGATTTCCCTTTTTCAATTGAAAATACCTATCTGCAGCCCTGAGCAACCCATCCAGGACTGCTGTTGCAAGGAGGTTTTGGCTGGGCACTTCCAAAAGATCATTTCCAGTTTGGTTCATTCTGGGGCAGGAAAATAGGGTTTCTGTAAGGAGAAACTTCCTGCCTCCTTTCCTTTCTCTCCTGCCAGTCCAGGATATTTTAAACAAAAGGGAAGTTGTCCATTTCTGCTAAAATACTCATCCTTCCTTGAAGATGTCTCTAGTCTTTTCCCTCTCCATCACTGCAAGAGAAAAAAGCACAGGACTTCTAGGGCCACAGACACGCTTCTGCATGGAGGATGCTTTCCAAGGTGCAACAACTTCACTTTCTCCTGTCCTGAGCTGCAGCCACCAGTTTTCTACTTTAAAGCTGCAAAAATGCCAAGGAGCTGGTCTTCTGTGCAGGCTAATCTAGCAAGAAAGATGGGCAGACAGCAAAGGAAAGGGTTGTTTCCCTGGATATTCTCTATAAAACTGTTCCCAGCAGATGCAGAGTATAGAGGAAATGCCAACATCCCTTGATATTGTTTGAAAGTTAAATTTAGATTTAACAAGGCAACATTTTCCATGTTATGTTCTGGGCTCTCAATTGTTGACCTGTTTAAAGCTGCAGAGTTATGTTTCAGTGAACACAGGCTTGGAAATCAGTCCTGCCCTCATTGCTTCTCATAGGAAATTTGGCCAAAGATATAATAAACCTGATGGAATTCAAGTGATTGAGATTTAACTTGTCTTACATTAAGCCGTTCATTTATTTCTTTTCTTACAGCCACTCAGACAGTGTTGTGGGCATGTTTGCTGGGCTCAGAACCTCAGAGGTGGACTTCAGTCTGACAGTATAGTATTGGGAATCAATTCCAGTCTTGCTTGCCAGGTAATCAGAGCAGGTATGGCACTTGAAAGCTGCCTTTCTCTCGGCCTGGCTTTCCAGGGAAATAGCCCGAAACAGATACAGCAAAATGGCCCAGAACAAGATTTGTAAATAGACATGACATCTTTGCTAGTCCAGAGAAGAGAGTAAATAAAAGGTCAGGTCCAGACTGGTTGTGAGCCAGTCTCTATTAAACTGATTGCTGTCATGATCTGGGTGACTGAACAGAGAATTATTCTGAAAGCAAATATTGATTTATGCTTTGAAAGCTGCCCAGGTAAATGGTGTTATGATATTTATTGTAATCCCTACCCACTTCTAGGGATTTGGGACCCGCTTTTTTGTGGCTGAATTGCTCTGGGTTGTATCTTACCTAAAATTACAATGAATACTTTTTTCAGAAAATGAGAATTGAATCAACTCCTCCATGCGGGGACAGAATGAAATTGTATTGGGTCATGACTCATATTAGCTTTGGCATTCCCTGACTTTCAACAGTTTCCTGGGGTAGTTACATGCAGAGATGCCATTAAATAAGCAAAACAAAAGGACTAAGCATGTAATCAGTTTTGGTAGAAAAGATCTAAACCAGAAATGGGGGGAGCTCTGTAACTGCTAGAACTAAAGTGTCAGTGGGAGCACAAAGCTGCCAATGGGAATTACACACTTCATTATCTCTGTTTCCTTTAACCTCCTGATGTTTGTATGTTCCTTGGACCCACACCCCAGCTCTAGGGGTTGCTTCTGGCTCCTTCCCAGATTGTACTTTGCAGCTCCTGGGGAAAAGCCTTGAGGAGAGGGCATGGAAAAGGGGGTGGGGTGTCACATTTCCTTGTCCCTTTGGGGAGTTCTGAGGTGGACCTCAGTTGTTCTAGAACTGAGCCACCACAGGCTCAAGGCAGTGGGCAGGCCAGTGCAGGATGTCCGCTGCCACCGCCTCTCTCCCGCAGGCTCCTGGAGGTGCAGAATGACTCTCCTTAACGGCGTGTACCCCTTCTACCTGCTGCAGAGAAAAGCCTCCATGTTTGATGTCAGCACCATCATAGTGATCGTGGTCTTCCTAACATTTGCTTGCAGCTTCCTGCTCATTATCCCAGGCATCCGCGGACGGGTGGTGCGTGACCCCTCTTCCTGGACATAAGCATCTGCTCCCCCCTTCCTGGGTGCTGGGACTCTCCTGTCTGGTTTGGGGTGAGCCGGGGCTGTTCCTTCCTGCCTGATGTCCTATGTCCTGTGTCCCCTCAGAGGCTGTACTGGACTCTCCGGGTTCTCTTCAGCCTCATCATGGGAGTGGTGATCGTCTGTAAGTGCTGCTCATCCCACGGGGGGTGGGCTTGGGGCAGGAATAAACCCTGGGCAGGGTCTGTGCCGCGGATATGCGAGCTGGTGGTCACAGCTAAGGCTGGTTGCAGGGGCTACCCTACACCTACCCTGCAAAGCTGTCACACAGCTTCCCCAAAGGGCTTCCCCATCCCTGGCACCTGGAGGTGCTGTGGTCACTCCTGAATCGAGAGGGAGCTTTGTTGGCTGTAACTTCACCACGGAGGTGGAACAGCCCCAGCTCTGGTGGGCTGCACAGCCCCATGTTCCTCTGGCCATACAAGCTGAGTGAGCACGGCTGAGCAGCTCAGAGTGTGGCCAGCTACGCTTGGAGGCTGAGAGGATCCTTGTGATGTGAAGAGAGCAGGTTGAAATAAAACACGGGGGGGGGGGGGGGGGAGAGTTGGGGGGGGGGGAGCAGGGAAGCAGTAAAGAGAGGCACAGAGCAAGGCAGGAGGGAGGAGATGGAGGAGATGATTTGATTTAGTATAAACCAGGAAATCTCTTGTAATAAATGGCACTGGTGGTGGAAACCAGGCTGTGGGATTTCCGACTCAGGGCATGTAAGTGGAAGATGTGCTACGGAGACAGAAGGTGCCAGGCGGGGAAAGCAACCAGCCCTGGCCCTAAACCAAAGAAATTCTGCTGTGAAGGACAAGGCAGATCCTAAGACTGCTTGGTGAGGGATCACGAAGTACAACCTAAATGATGCAGCCCTGGTATGACCAGGCAACAGAAGTAGATAGAAGTGTGACCAGCCGTGGGACTCGGCCAGGTGACACATGGTCCAGCACGCGGTGCTCTCCATCCACTGAGGGATGTCCATGTGCTGGGAGATGCCACCAGAGCCACCCAGGAACGTGGTGCCAGGCTGGAAACGGCAGAGTTTGGAGATCAGGGCTTGCTCCACACCTTTAGGCAGCCCAGCCCTGGAGAACCCTCCAGCACCACTCCTGTTACAAGGATGCAGCCAGTAGCTGCTTGGGCACACAGGAGGAATTCATTGTTTTAAAGCTGGCGTCCAGGTTTCTGTTTGGCAGCAGCAGGGCATGCTCAACCCTGCAGCTAGAAAATTTTCCTGCAGAGCTGCTACTGGATCAGTGCCCCCATAAGTTGATTCAGCACCTGAGCTCACTTTTGGGTAGGTTTTCTTGTTCAGCCTGAGTTTAAATCATTGCCTTCACTTTCAGTTCTTTTCAGTGCTGGAAAATGAAGCCCACTGCAAAGTGAGAGTGTTTCTGGAAAGGGTATTTTGTGACAAAACATCTATACCTGAAATGCTCCAAACTTTCCTTGTTCCCCAGCTGAAATGGCTGTCAGAGCTGTGACGCCACTCACCACCCCCTCGCCCCCTCCGTTTGACAGGGATCTTCTCACTATTCACTCGTAGTGCAATCAGACAGCTTAATACTTGGAACGAAACTCACCTGTTCCCAAGGCTGAGCAACGGGCTCGTTTCAGAGGCCTGTCCCAGGGACTGCGGTGCTCATCGTGGTGGGGAGCTTGCAGGGAAGTCCTGGAGAGGATGTCCAAGGAGGAATCAGGTCACGGGGTTCGTCCCTGGGGATCTGAGCTCTCCCGCTCCCGGATGGAGGGAGTGGATGATCAGCAAGGGAAGGACAGGAGCTCTGCCAGGGCGTGGGAGCTGGTTGAGGCACGTCCTGGCGGCCGAGTCAGCAATCCTGCCCTCCTCACCCTCCCTTGCAGTGCGGCGGTGGGAACACTGTGTCTGCTCCTTGATGATTCCCCCCTGAGGCACGGCAAAGCCCGAGACCAGCCCCGCTTTAACCCCAGCTTTGCTCTTCCTGGCAGCTGTGCAGTTCACGGGAGACTGGGAGACCGGCTGGGTGAGGGCAAACACCTCCTACAAGTCCTTCAGCCCAGCGCTGGTGAGCGCGGACATCGGGCTGGGCATTGGCCTGGTGGGGGTGAACATCTCTCTCAGGGGTGAGTCTGATGTCTCCATCTGCAGCTCTGATGGCCCCAGGAGGTCTGAGCGCCCTTGGTCTGCAGGCTTCTGAGTCCTGCTGTCCCTGGGGTGCCCGTGCTCCTGACTGGCAGCACCCTGGATGCTGGGACACAGCAGGACCTTGCTCTTCTCCCTCCATCAGGAAACCCGGTGAAACAGGTCAATGAGACCATCAACTACAATGAGCACTTTCCCTGGAGCTTCAATGCAGACTATGACCAGAGCTACAGCCAAGGACTGGAGAGGGGGCTGCCCAGACCCATCCTCTACGTGGCGGAGAAGTTCACTACACGAAGCCCCTGCAGCATGCAGAGGCAGTACCGCATCTCCAGCCACTACGCATCGGCCACTCTCTGGTGAGCCTTCCTCCCCTGGAGCAGGCAGGGGAAATTCAAGGATGTGGGAAGGGCTTTGCTGCCTTGTCCCTAGGCCTCTGAGATGGACGATTTCACACTGGCAGGAGGAATGCTATGGGCAGGGAGGGACCTCTGCGAGGTTTGTTGTCAAACCAGTGACACTGTGGGCACCTTGGGGTGAGCAGATAGGAGGTCCTGGTTCTCTCTGCTGGTCAGCTCCATGACAGCTGGGCACAGAAGAGAGGAATGTGGTGTAGATCCTTGCCATGATGCAGTGATGACAGCAGGGGTCCATCCCCATGGATGCAATCGGAGCTGCTGTCCTCAGTGGCCATGGGGTCAGGAGTATGAGCAGAACTCTCCCATTCCCATCTGTGAGGGTATGTGATATCTGGGAGTGGGACCAATGAGGAACAGCTGATAATGCTGTTATTTTGGGGCCAATCTCAACTCCTCAGGAGGAACTGCTGAGCAGCAACATGATTCTGCTCACTTGGGCTGAGGGAGAGCTGGTCCACAGGTCTAGGAGATGGTCCCCTCTACCATAGGGGTACTTGTAGTGCCGTTCCCCCTCCTCTGGGTTTGACAGCAGGGATGAGGAAGCTAGGAAAGGGGCCTGGCAATGCCATGGAGCAAGAGCTCCTGGCCCATAGCTGAAGGCTTCCCCTGTCACCCAGCCCTTCAGCCAAGTCCAGAGCTGCTGCAAATGTCTTGTGCCTGCTTCTGCAATCATCCCAGACTGGTGAGCTACTCTCTATGGTCTGCAGTGCCCCACACATGGAAGGACAGGGAGCTGAGATGGTCTAGATACACTCAGTGGGCTACTGTGGCCTCTCTGGGGCTGGCATAGTCTCTGAGCTGAGCAATGGGAAGAAATCCTTGCTTCTGACTGCTGGATGTAGCAGCATGAGCATTGCACATCTGCTTGCTCAGCCTGAGAGGCTCAAGATCACTGCAGCGTGCCACAGAGCTTCTGGGCCTCATACAGTGCAACCAGGAGCCCAGATTCCTCCTCCGGCATGGAAATCTTCACACAGAGCATCCTAGCGAGTGGCACTTGCACAACTAATGCACTGGTCTTCTCTTATCTCCAGGGTGGCCTTTTGCACTTGGCTCATCTCCAACATGCTCTTTTCTATGCCTGTCCTAGTCTATGGAGGCTACATGCTCCTCGTTACAGGGGCCTTCATGATCTTTTCGCTGCTGTCATTCTCCACTGTGGGAAACTCCACGATGTGCCTGATCCAGTTTGGAGCTGCAACCCTGCACACAGGCTATGGAGGATCCTTCTGGATCACACTGGTGATTGGTAAGGACAGCAAGCTACATCAGCGCACAGCACCTTGTCTCTGGGTGTGCCAGAGTCCCAGTGCTTTCACTCCAGTAATGGAGGTGAGCGAGTTTGGGGATTGCAGCCCACCAGAGCCCCAGCCTGGGCCTTGGCAAAACAGATCCTGGCAGAGATGGGGACAGGGCTGGCAGCTGGGGGAACACCATCCCCATCACAAGAGCGGTGGAGGGAGTTTTAGTCCCTGAGGTGCAGTAAAAAAAAGATGAGCATCACTTGCTTGGGTTTTAAGATACTCAGCATAGCAGCTGAAGCTACCTCATGCAGTAGAAGGCCATCTTCCATAGGAGAAGGCGTTGTCCCCTGGCAGGGGAGCATCAAAGGAGGGCTACAGGGGGGAGTGTGCTGGGGTTGACAGGAATGTTCTTAGAGAGCGTGTCTTCCAGGCTTGCTCTGTTTTGTGGCTGGGATCAGTGTTGTCACACTGCACTACTGCAACTTGGACCTCCTGAAAACTTTCTTTGATCTCCATGAGGACAAAGCAGAAGAGTTCCAAGAGATGACTGAAGCATAGATCAACTTTCATTTTGCGAACTGAGGACTATCTCCTTCTCAGCCCTCCAAACTCAACCCTAACATCATCTAGAAGAACATTTTTTCACTCATTCCCTGAAGTGCACCTGAAAGGACAGAGCACGAACACTTCTTGATGTCCCCAGAGACCCATTTTTCCATCCAACTGCCTTTGAAGAGTGCATGGATCTGTGTTGGGATGGGTACTTGCTAAGAAGTGCCTTTGCAGACTGTGACTCCCTGACCATGCCCTCTGGAAAGGGCAGGCTTTGCAGGGAGCCAGCAGGCTGCCATTGGGGCAGCTCCCAGCTCCGGTGGCTCGAGCTGCACACTCATCTGGGGATCTCTGTTCTAACAGAAATGCCCTTCCTGGTCCATCCCTGGCACCCCTTTGTGCAGTGATGCTCTGATGGGCAGTTCTCACCCCAGAAACTGAGCTCACTGGTGCTTACGGGGAGCACCTGCAATTCAAAAAGCTGGTGATTAAATCCTCTCATTTCTTTCCCAAGCACTGACACTTAGTGTAGACCTTCAGGCCTACCCAGGAAGGCCAGGCAAAGACCTAAAGGCCATAAGGCTGGATGCTGCACGAGCTAGAATAAAACAAACGCTCCAGAAGTAAAGACTGAGTGAACATGCCATGGAGTTTGCCCATGAGGAATGAGGTGATGTGGTTATTTTCAGTTTCCAACTTGGGCTTTCTTAGGTAACACTTGTAGTCTAGTGTGGGCCAAAAAGATGTGACAGGAAAGGAAGGAGACGGAAGACACTGCCCCTGTGCAACTGGAGTGCACTTGAGCCGGCTGGGCTCACCACAAAATGTAAGACAAGGCCAGGAGTCAAACCCAACCAAGGGGAGAAATGAAGTGCATCAAGGTGCTTTATTAGAAACAGAAGATGGGGTCCTAGCCCACCTGCCTGATGAAGTCTCCATGGCTGGTACAAAGATCTCCATATCTGAATGCTGGAGACCTGGGCCACTTCAGTCCAATTAATTGTAAAGGACCTGATTGCAGTACTTTGACTCTTTTCTTTCTGAGAAAAGACCATCACTGTTAAGCTACTTATTTCTTTCACGTGCCATTTGTGTTGCACTAATGTGATTTCTTATGGGCATGAGTTATTATTTTCAATTAAACTTCATTAAAAACCCACTCCTTTGGAATACTTTGGGCATTCTGGGAGGCTGGTTTCTCAAGTGGGGTTGTGAGGCTTGGCTCATCCTAAGTCCCCCTCAGACACATCCCTCCCATGGGGGAAGCTGCCCTGGCAGAGGTATCCCCAAGGAAGGATGAGGCTCGTTGAAGCCCTTAAGGTAAAACCCTTGTATTGGGGAGCAGTGCACTGTAGGATGTAGGAGAGTTTCAAAAGGACTTTAACTAGTCTAGTAGCAGGACAGAAGCTGTAAGATTAAACCAACAAAATTCCCTCGGGAAATGGAGGATCCTTTCTCGAGTCTTTCTTGCATCCAAAAGCAAGCCATGTACAGAGGCATTGTGGGGAGATGCTACAACCAACCACAAGTTATTGGGGCTGGTGTGGGACAGATCCTGTCACCTGAGAGCACAGGAGGCTGGGAGGCCCGCTCTTTCTGCCACTGCATCTGGGACTCTCCAACCTCACCTCCTGCTTTTAGAAATGATTCCCCCCAGTAGCATCCTCACCAGAGGAAAAGCTTTGTCCTGTTGCATCAGACATACAGGGCCCTGAATCCAAATCAACAGAACAAACAAAATTCAATCTGTTTGAAGCACAGAGACATCAGACTTCTGTGTGCCTTGCCCACTTCCTAGCAAACACAGGACAGCTGGGATTTCTGCAGCACGGCTTGCATGGGGCCAACCGAGCAGAGGCAATGACATGAGGGGGGATGCAGAGACCCCTTTACACATTGTGTCTTGTGAAGAACAGGGGGTCACAGAATCCCAGGGTCGTTTGGGTTGGATGGGACCTTAAAGCTCACCCAGTTTGAACCCCTGCCATGGGCAGGGACACCTTCCACTAGAGCAGCTTGCTCCAAGCCCCATCCAGCCTGCCCTTAAACACTGCCAGGACAACAGGGGCTGGCTTTGTCATGGGGCTGGCAACCCGCCTGTTGAAGACTTCTTTCCTTGTCACCACAGGGAGGAGCACACATGACGGCCATTGCTCAGGGATGATTATGTTCCTCACTACATGCTGTCATAGTAGCTTCTTCACATGCACCATAAGAGCTGTGGCTGTGCGGCTCCTGTGTTATGTTGCTGCAGGTCCTAGCTCCTCCATCCACCTCAGCTCCAGGCTCAGTGTCCTGGCTGGACTGAGCTTTTCCTGGATAAGAAGATATAAAATAATTGACATTAAATCCCTGGCTCTTGGTCCAGGCTGCTTCTGGCCGCACAGTGTGCAGGGAATCTGGAGTCCAACCAGACAGTCAGTGCCAGCAGTGGAGCAAACTCAGAAATTACAGCCTGGGGCTCTGCAAGGGTGGTGGTCCCCACTCCTGGAGGCACTCATTGCACCAGGGCATGCAGAGCTGCCAGCTCCCCTGCTCCAGGCTTGGATGCCAGGGGAACATGTCAGGAAAGGCAGAAGTTTATGAGGACTGAATTTCAGTTCAATTAAGTGTTCAAGGCAATTCAGGCAGTGTTCAAGGCCAGGTTGGACAGAGCCTTGGGTGACATGGTCTAGTGTGAGGTGTCCCTGCCCATGGCAGGGGCTTGGAACTGGATGATCTTAAGGTCCTTTCCAACCCAAACCATTCTATGGTTCTATGAAATAAAAGGGGTTGGTTGCACATTGATCTAGTCCATCTGCAGGCTGAAGCATCACCTCATAGATGCCATTGGGAACATCCAAGTTGTTCAGTTCCAACCTATTCTTAAATGCTTGTTGAGTCCTGTAGGTCCTCTAGGTTGAATGCTCTTCCATCTAGAATGGGATAGGGCAGGATGCCATATCTGAGCACACCGTGCCTCACTGTGGTCCCTCTGCAAACTTCTCTGCTGAGCTGGGTATTGCTCCCATCAAGCCTTCCACCTGCCCAGGGTCATTCCAGGAGCTAAAGCCTTCCTATATAGCCCCTGTTTGTTTTCCTGGGGGTGCTCTGTTACCCTATTTACTGTGTGTTGACTTGCCTGTATTGCACTGTGCCTACTAGCCATGGTCAGATACCCCATATGGGACCAAAACTCGCCTCTGCCTTTGCCTTGGCCTTCTTTCCTTCCCTATGGCTGCCATGTCACAGTAACAGAGCATCCTCAGCCAGCCACCCCTCAGAGGGACACCTCTGTCAACAGACAAGAGAAAGACCAGGTTCAATTTTTTTATTGAGATAGATAGAGGGGAGAATAAGTGAGCAAACACCAAACAAACAAAAATGTTGCAAAACCTGCACAGAGTTAAAGGGGTGCAAACCTGAAACATTCTTCCTCCCATCCCTCCCAGGCTGGGTGTGATGCTCACCTCTTGTTAAGCGATTACAGCCACTCCTGGGGCACCACAGCACTTCCATTCCCATCTCCTCCTCTCCTTCCCTCCCACCAAAATCTTTTCCTCTGTTCGGAGGGTTACGAGAGCACCAACAACTCACAGGCTGCTCACAGGCTGGTGGCTGTGGTTTAGGGTGTTTATAAGCACTGTAAGAAGCAGGAGCCAACCAATCAACTCCCTGACTGTGCCATTTCCAGCCCAGTGTACAGCCCAGCACATCTTGGACTTGCATCAAACTTGAGCTGTGGGGTGTCAGTATGGGACTGAAATCCACGAGTCCTCCAAGGTCTGGTGCCTCCAGTATTGTAAGAAATTGTGGGCCTCCTTACCAAATTGCTCTCCAACCAAGACCAGGTACAGGGCATCCTGGAGAGCACAGCTCCCCTCACTCTTCCTGGCCACTGCTGGAAAGACCATCCCTGAGCAGAGGGGACTTCTTGGGGACCTTCAGGGTGGGGATGCTGTTGCAGGGGCTCTACTCCTTTCATTCATATCTATTCATCTGCAGGTATTTGGTTTCTCCCGTTTGCTCTTGTTCAGTGTCTGCTTTAGGACTCTTAAGGTTTGTTGGGGATGGACTAAGGGGAAGGGCAGTAGCCCAGTGCCTGTAACTGGACAATCAGGGATGGGGCATGGATTGTCTCTACCCCAAAACCTCTTCCAGCTGCTGGTGAGTAAAACAACAAAACATTGAAAAAAAATAAAGAAAAAAGAGAGGGCAAGTTGCCATATTTGAGATCCTTTTCCAGGGTTGGATGTTCTCATTACCGGGCTCTTATGTGTCTTCCCACCCATGCTTCTGGTGTAGTTGGACAGGAGAGTGGATTCAGAAGGGATGTCCTCGGGCTTTGCCCTTACTGCTGGGTGGCTGTCACCTCGCAAAGCTCACTCAGGGAGACCATCAGCATGTCCTGTGCAGAGGAGCTGGGCTCGGCAGGCAGGTAAGGCTTGTCCCACCCCTCCTCTTCTCCCTTTCTCTCGTCCAGGTTAAAGACAAGCTTCAGTTTCTCTGGCTGCACAGAGTTGAAGATGATAACACCCAGCCCCAGCAGCAGGCACAGCAGCCCTGCAATACACAGCATGGGGAGACACGTTAGCACCTCTGCCCTGCTGTGTCCCAGCCCCATCCAGATCCAGATCTGGGGTTGGAGGCCGATGGCACATGGCATCAGCCAGGAGGCCAAGGGAAGGTGTTGCTTTCATCTCCACATGTGGACTCTGCCATCAGTCTGGGCACCGCAGCACAAAAGAGAATCATAGAATAGAATGATAGAATCAACTAGGTTGGAAAAAACCTCTAAGATCATCAAGTCCAACCATTACCCCACCACTGCCAAGACCACCACTAACCCATGTCTCTGAAGAAATTATCCCTATTAACAGGTGGAGAAACTAAAGGCAAAGAGAATTACCAAACACGATTCCTCTACAAAATGACCTCAGAATAGTCTGGCCCTACTTAAGTACTAATCAATGCATAGACCTGAATCTTATGTGTCCTAGTGATTGGTTTTACACAGCTACCAGATAACTTGGAAGTTACTTTGACAAAGTTCCTTCTTTATCTGAAAGGGCTGAGATTATAACAGACATTTCAGTGTCTGTCAGACTGTACTGCTCTGCTCCCTCTGGCATTTCCATGGATTTTCTGGTTCGATATATGACACTAGACAATATAATTATTTTCTTCACAGTTCCTTGAAAAGAAGAGTTATTTCTTTATCTAGCTCTATTGTTTCTCCATCATTTATTCTTTGGATGCAGCCTATCTGGCTTCAAAACTTCACAAACTTTCTCAATTTCTATTTCAGTACTTCTAGCAGAAGACTCAGTAAGAATCTCGTGATTAGGGTCTGATACAAAGTTCCAAGTGCTTCTGATGGGATCTAGATGTTATGCCTTCATGAGAGGTACCAAAAAAGTCAATGAACTTGGCAAATGACTGAGAGAGTTGGGTCTGGAGCTCAGCAGGTATGGGGAAAGGCTTGAGGAGCTGGGTTTGTTTAGCCTGAAAAAGAGGAACCTTGAAGGGGATGTAATCGCCACCTTCTGCTACTGACAAAGGGCCACTCCCCTTCTCGGAGGCGCACAGTTGTAACATGGGAAATTCCACTCTGAGAAAAGGAAACATGCCCATGAGTGGGACCATGTGGGGCAGGTCCTGAGAGGCAGAGGGGGTCTCTAGCCATGTGGACAAGCACCATCAGACTGAACAAGGCTGATATGGCTTTACGGTTAGCACTGCTCTGGGCAAGGGCTGGGAGAGAGACCCTCAAGGGTGCTTCCAGGCCAGGTCTTTCCCTGACTCTGAGCTCTGACTTTCACAGCACCCCATTGGGCACACCTCCATGCAGATAACTTTGGCCATTAGGGTGTCGTGGCTGCTCAGCTCTTTTTCTCCCAGTCTTGATGTTGTTATGATGAATTCGTGTATTCCATTGGAAAAAAAAATCAAAATCAAAACAAAATAAAACACAATTTTTTTCAATCAGCCATGGAGACAGAAGGGATGAGGTGCTGCTGAAGCATCACTGAGCATCATTGCTGCAGGGATGGAGAATAAAAACCCCAGGAGCAAGCTGAGCACTCACCTGTCGCTAATGTCAGCCAAAAGGATCCTCCATAGTCTGTTTTCAAGGCAGCTGTGCCAAACCGGATGGGGCACTTAGCGGTGCTCCGTGCAGTGAAGAAGAAGAGCAGTGAGAAGAGCATCAGTGCGGCAGTGAGCAGAAGCATGTAGCCACCATAGAGCAGGATGGGCATGGAGAACAACAGGATGGAAACGAGCCATGTGCAAAAGGCCATCCTGAAAAAGGACCACAAAACCGAGCAGAAGGTGTCATGCTTGGAGCCTCTTCTGAGGGTCTCCTCTCCACGTCCTAATGGAAAGATACTGCCCTAGGAAACCTGCTCTAGCTGGTCCCGCTTGAGCAAGTAGGCTGGACGGACTGATCTAAGGAGGTCCCTTCCAACCCGAACAATCCCATAATTGCATGAATGGTGGAGATGCAGAACAGATCCCCAGTGCAGGAGAAGGATCTCCATGCCTGGGGACATCCAGTACTGAAGTTCACAAAGCCCTAAGCACATTGATATGGCTTTGACATGAGCCCTGTTTTGGGTAGTGGGGCTGAAGACCTCTAGAGGTCTTTCTTTCTCATTCTCTGACTCTTGTGGTCCTCCACAAGTGGCTGCTCCCAGGCAGTTCTCACCTGTTCAAAGGGAGAATGGCAACAAGGGAGGCCTTTGTTTGGAGAACCACACAAGGAACCATGCCCACATCTGATTCAGCACTTGGAGGGAGCCCAGCTGCCAGCCCTGCCCTGTGCATGGGGTTTGGCTTTAGCTCACTGGGGAGGTGACCCTAACAAATGTTCTGATTCCAAAAATAATAATGAAAAATAAGTTTACATCAACATCCCTGCCTTGAAATGCTCCTTCTCAATGGCAGGAAGGTTTGGGCAGGGCTAGCTGTTTTTCTTGGAAGTAAAAAAGGAGATGTGGCAGGGACCTGGAGCCTATGTCTAGAGGGAGAATTGTAGGACACACTCTCACCTGCAGTGCCTTTCCCACGACCTCTGAGACACATGTGAATGCTCTGAGACTCCGTGATGACAACACACACAAGAGCTCTCAGCTCAATGCCACAAGACAGCCTCTGAGCACACGCTTGATGGTCTGTCCTGCTCCCCACCAGCAGGTCTCATGCCATCTTTGGGATGTAAGAGGAAATCCCCTCAACCCATCTTACTAAGATTTTGCATCTTCCTTAGGAGGGGACTTTGCACCCTACACAATTGCATCTGCTTTCCTTTAAATGAGGAATAATTTTTCTCCAACTGCAATTTTGCACATCAGGCAAGAGGACACAGAAGAGGACTCTGGGGAGACAGGCAGTGCAGGAAGCATCCCTGATTCTGCAAAATGGTGGGTGACAGAGACCAGCCAAGGATTTGACATGGCCTTACAGGGAAGAGGGTGGCTCTATCAAGCTCCCTGTGCTCTACCTGGTTCTTTCCACCTCCCCAGTGAGCAGATATAGGGCTGACCTCTTGCTCTGAATTACCACAGTGTGAGGGAGGCGTAGTGGCTGGAGATGCGGTACTGCCTGTGCACGCCGCAGGGGCTTTGGGAGGTGAACTTCTCTGCCACGTAGAGGATGGGACTGGGGAGCCCCTTCTCCAGGCCTTCATCATAGCTGTGATCGTAGTCTGCATCGAAGCTCCAGGCAAAGTGCTCGTTGTAGCTGATGGTCTCATTGAGCTGATGCACTGGGTTTCCTGCCAGATAATGAAGACTAAGGACCTTTCTCAGCCTTGGAGGCAGCTCCAAGACTTCCTGGTGTGGGACCTCAAGGGCCCACAGCCCCGTTACCCAGGTGCATGGCTGTCAGACTTGCACCCAATCCTCTCCTGGTGTGAAATGCACTCACCCACCAGTGTGACATTCACCCCCGCCAGGCCAATGTGCAGCCCAATGTCCACGTTTACCAGGGCATGGCTGAAGGACTTGTAGGAGGTGTTTGCTGTCACCCAGCCGGTCTCCCAGTCCTTGGTGAACTGTATGGCTGTGAAAAGTTAGTTATAGTAAGTTATAGTCTGGTGGTGAGACACCTAGGGCTAGAAGCACCTGCAATGATGGCCACCGTAGCCTGAACATTATCTACCCCATCCCAAGGAACAGGCCTGGGCTATAAGCCCCAAGGAGCCTTATATGTCCTTCCCCAATATCAACCCAGACCCATGGCCCTGGTATCCCTGCTTGGGTTGGTTTCTCCCCAGACCCAGTGCATTCTGCAGTCCTAGAGGCAATAGGTCTGATGTGTGGGCACTGGCTAGGAACTGGTCCTCATGAAAGCCCCTCCCAGTTTGTCTGGCTCTTGGCAGTTTGTGGTGGGCTTCCAGTGACTGCAAGGGAGGTGGTCTATGCATACTGTAAGCGTTCAGAGATGAGACAGGTGCAGCTCCCACAGTTCGCTGGAGCCAGGTCCCCGGCATATATGGGCATCTGTCTTCCCCATAAACTCATCCTGTGGCTGGAGCTGGTGCTTGGCTGCTCTGTTCACCCTCCCTTGCCTTGCTCCTCATCCCGTGTCCCGAGCATCCCTGAGCTTCCCCCCGCAGGACTTTGGTACTCACTGAGGACCACCGCTCCCACGAAGAGACCCATCACCACCCGCAGGAACCAGAAGAGTCGCTGCAAGGGGTGAACAGGGAGAGGGACAGGTCTCAGATTGTGCCACAGGGACCTGAGCACCAAGCGTGTCATTTAGGAATGCCAGACAGTGAGAAACAGGCTTGTTCCTCCCCTCGGAATCACTTCACAGGCTCTGCAAGCAGGTGGCATCAGGGACACACGTGGTTGGGGGATCCCTGCCTTTGGGTATGGGAGGCAGCTGGGAGATCCAGGCAGAGAAAGAAGGTCAAAACCAGCCCATTTGGGAAAGTCATGCTGTCCCCTTTACTGCGAAGGAGGATGGAGACACTCCTGTTAATAGTCCTGAGCTGGGATTTCCACACTTCCCCAAACCTCATGTGTTTAGGTGTGCTGGCAGCTGGCCACATCTGGAGACAAAAGCAGTTGCTGTGGGTTCTCAGTGTGTTCCCTGGGGGTAGCCATCTCTCGGCCAGCCTCACTGCTGGGACAAGCATGTGACAAGCATGTAGCATGCAAGAGCCTGTTGGCCACACAGAGCCCCGTGAGCAGTGCTGGGGCACACACAGTGCATATTTCCTTCTTTTACTCAGGTTTTGGGGAAAATGGAGCAAAGTCTTTGAGCCTCACCCTATTTTTCCACTTTTGTGAAGTCACCCAGGCTTGCTCCCAGTGAAATCCAGACAAGTGCAGATCTGGGTGCCTTGTAAATGTTGGTTGGATTTTAGTGGCTCTAGTATGGGGGTACATGCTGGGTTGGGGTGGGCTGGAGCTCACCCCCATGGCTTGCTAGAGATCCCAAAGGCCTGGACATGAACCTGTGGGCATGTTTGCTCCCCGAGTCTGTTTTTGTGTCTGGGAAAGAGGAGGCATCTGGGATGCACAGGGCAGGGACCACATGGCTGAGCTCCCCCTGCCCTTTCACTTACCCCCCTGCCCCGGATCCCTGGCAGGATGATGATGAAAGTGGCCAACATGGAGAGGAAGATGGAGACAATGACGGCCCAGGTGGTGTCAAAGGGGAAGCACGGATTGGCACCAGGGTAGAAGGGGAAGGAGCCATTCCATAGCGTCATCCTCCTGCCTGTGCAGGCTGGAAATAGATACCCAGAGGGACATAGGGGAGAAAATCACCTCCTCGCTTCCACCCCACCCAACTTTCTCCACAGACCTGTCTGCTGCCCACTTGCCAGCATGTGCACCCCCAGTGCCTGTTCACATTGCAGTCCTGCATCTGGGCATTCACTCAGGCATCTCCCATGGGACTCCTCCATCTCCCATGGAGTACATCCCAGAGTAAAACAGGTTTGAAGCCACTGGGACACATGCTGCAATGCTCAGACTGTCCCCATGATGGGACAAGAATACAAGCACACATTGCTGGGCCTCTCGTCCCCCTCCTCTGTTTGTTCTCCACCCCAGTCTCTTGCCTGTGCCTCCACCCTCCCTGGTTCAGCTCTTTGTCAAGCAACCTGGCTCCTGCTTGTGGGTGTTGTGCTCAGGGCGCTTGGTGAATCACCATGAAAACACAGGCTGCGCCCCATCGGCTGCTCCTCACTGAGCCCTGGCTGGAGGTAACTCCTCACCATCCAAAGGAACAGGAATAACCCAGAGGGGACAGAGAAACTGCCTGTCTCTGGCATCAGGGTGCCAACCCTCTGTCCCAGGAGCTGGCTTGAGGCAGTGCTGTGCCATGGCGGGCAGAGGAATGCTGCTCAGGAAGCCAGCCCCGGGTTTTTGCCATGGCACTTGGCCAACGTTTCTTCCTTGTTCTTCCTTGCTTCCCTGCTAGGAAAGGGCTGCTCACCATCCCCCAGGGAACGGGGACCATCCAGCAGCAGCTTCGGAAACACCCAGTTCCCTTCCCAGCTTTGATCCTACCTGTGCTGCTTCGATCCTGAGGGCTGGCTGCCGTGCCGAGACGCAGCGTGCTCCGGGATGCTACTTGCTCGCTTGCGCTGCTCCCAGGGCTGTGGGCAAGAAGCCAGACCAGTGTGTCACAGCGGTGTTTCTCCCAGTGTTTTCAGGGTGCCCGCCTCCAGAGATGGCTGGATCCAGCTTTACCCACAGCTGACCAGCCCCTGGTGCCGTTGCTGAGCCCCAGGGCAGGCAGGGAGCTGCAGCTGGCTCCACGCTGTGCAGCGTGGCTGAGGTGAGTGATCCCAGGCAGGGTTTGCCTTCTGGTTTTTAGCGTGACCAGCAGGTAGAGGGAGGCGATCCTGCCCCTCCGCTCTGCAATCCCGAAACCCCACTTGCAGCACTGTGTGCAGTTCTGGTGTCCTCAACGTAAGAAGGACATGGAGCTGTTGGAACAAGTCCAAAGGAGGCTATGAGGATGATCAGGGGCTGCAGCACCTCCCATATGGAGCCAGGCTGAGAACACTGAGGCTGTTCAGCCTGGAGAAGAGAAGCTGCGTGGAGACCTCAGAGCAGTTTCCAGTGTCTGAAGGGGGCTACAAGGATGCTGGAGAGGGACTCTTCATCAGGGACTGCAGTGATAGGACAAGGGGTGGTGGGTTCAAACTGAAACAGGGGAAGTTCAGGTTAGACCTAAGGCAGAAGCTCTTCCCTGTGAGAGTGCTGAGGTGCCCAGAGAAGTGGTAAGTGCTCCATCCCTGGCAGTGTTCAAGGCCTTGTTGGACAGAGCATTGGGTGACCTTGTAAAGTGGAAGGTGTCCCTACCCATGAGCAGGGATTGGAACTGGATGATCTTAAGGTCCCTTCCCAAATCATTCCACGATTCTATGATTCTTTTCCTCATTTTTTCCTGCAGAGTGGTGAAAAGTCCAGCTGTTCCTTCTGACATGAATGCCGTGGTGCTACTGGGCTCCTCAGGAGCTTCAAAGCCCTCGCCTGCACTGCCCAGTGGAGTGTTCCATCTGAGGTCATCTAGCTGGTTGTGGCTGCACAGTCACCTCACTGACCCTGCTCCTGACTCCACCCCTCAGGTACATTCCCTGGGAAGGTCCCGCTGACCTGCCGGTCACTGGACAAGGCTGGCCAAGGGGACCAGCAGAGAGGCACAGATCCCCATGTGATCCATGTAGTCAAAGTGCCCTGTTACACAGAAGATGCTCAAGTTACTCACTTGGCCACGGTGTGGAGATCATGAAGATTCAAGCTTTTTGGGCTTGCTCTCATTCTTTGGCATTCTGGTTGGCTGCAGCAGGTTGCATTGATGCCAAGAGATCCCAGGTCAGCAGAAACACTCTCCTGACCCACATCTGGGGCTTTCCTCCAAAGCTGGCACAGTTACTGCAGTCCCCTGGGTACTTCTTTCTGCATCCCAGCAGCAGGCCTGGCTAGGTGCCCTGGAAAGCTGTGCTTGGCAGGGGGAGGTAAACCTAAGTTTTAATTCATGCGAAACAGGAAATAAAGGCATTTCTGGGCAAAGACTTTGCTATTTCCTCTCAAGTCCCAGGCTAGTGCTACCTAGTCTGAACACTGAATCCCTCCCTGAGGCTGGGAAAAGTGTATGCAGAGCTGTGCTGCAGAGGTGTCTGCTGATGCAGGTGATGCTGATGATGTGGCATCAGCTCTGGAAGTATCTGCAAAGTAGAGAAAAATGTGGACTTCACAGCAAATGGCACAGATCCTTGCAGCAACTGAGTGGACAAACGTGGTGCTTAGGAGCTCTTGGAAAGATAGAAATACCAGCAGGGGTCAGGGATAACTGAGGAGATTCCTGATAATTGGCGGGATGAGATTAATTACTGAGATTCTCATCGCACATATCATGCAGGGTGGTGTGTGGGATGAGAAGTGGGGCTAGGCCAGCATTCCTTGCACTCCCTGGATCTGGGAGAGGCAGCAGGGCTCTGCACTGGCTTGGCCAAACCAGGGTATGGGGTTTTCCTGGGGAAGGGATTGAGGTACTGTGAGGTTTGTGCTGTTCAGACAAGCATCACAGATGTGTCTTTTGGGTAGATGCCCTATTGGCAAAAATTAAAGTGTGCAGGGGAGAAGTTTCCCTCCTTCTCTAAAGGATGTATCCTGCAACACAGCATCTTTAGGCAAGGACACTGGGGGAGCCCATGGACTGCTCTGGTTCTCTCATCTGTCCCCAGCAGTGATGGAAACAGTGTGTGACAGGGGTGGTGGGATGCTCCACTTCCCTGGGGTGCTGATGGGGTTGTGGGCTGGTAAGTGTGGGAAAATTTCCGGATTTACCCCTCATTAAGCACTCTGCATCCATGAAGAGGTTCTACAGAAAGCCTGAGGTCATGATGGTAACAGGGGTTTTATCAGGCAGCTTCTGCCTCACTCACTTGTGAGCGATGGATGGGGCGATTAGGGATAAGTCACCTGATCCAGGTCATCTGAGGGAGGTGGGGACAAGGGGAGCAGCACCCATCACCTCTTGCACAAGCAACCACGCAGTGTTGGATCAGCCACCATCACTCATGGTGCCAGGAACCAAGGCGGGGAAGGCATGGGGACATGCCTGGGCAGGGAGACAATTTGGGGGATGGAGCAGGAGCCCCAAGAAGCCACCCCTTGCTCAGAGGGTTTCTGGCTGACCCATTGGTACCAGTGGGACAGACATGGTGTTTGTGTCCATGGACAGCCCCATTGGCTGTCCTTATTACACTTCTAGCCTGGTCCTCAATGTGGCGGATGCTGCTGCTGGATCACAATGAGGCTCTGTTTGATGAAGCCCATCCAATGTCCCATCCAGACACTTGGATGCATATCCTTGCCTGGGATTCTTTGCAACAGCTGAATGACCAATAATGAAAGAGCCTGAAGGGAGGAACAGGAGGAAAGATGGAGGAGCAGAGAAGTTCACAGTGCTGTGTCTATGACTTGGCTCTAGATATATTTGCAAGAAGGATCTATTTTTCCATCTCTACTTGGAAGTTACTTAAAGATTCTGAGAGAAGGGGAAGGTGTTGCTGCCCACTACAGTACTCGGTGAGCTGGGTTTCATATCTCATCATGGAGGAAGCTCAAGGTCAACAGAGAAGGCTGCCAGGACATTGATGCAGAGCTCAGCAGGAGCCACTCGTCGTCCTAGCGGGAATTGGAACAGGAGAGGCTTTAGCAACACTTTTAAGAAATCCTCATCCAGAAGTTGTGTTGTGTGATCAGACCTCTGCTCCTTCCAAGAGCCATCATGTAGGAGAGAAACAAGTCTCCTATGGCTTGGACCTTCAGAGGCACATATCAGGAAGACCATCTTACTTGGAGCTGCTTGATCATCTTTGCTCCCTGCCCTAAACAGCTTTCAGCTACTGTCAGTGCTGTTGAAGCTTTTCACATGCTGTCAGAGATCCAGAGGACAGAAACCCAGCTGCCCCATTGCCCTTCTGAAAATTTCCATCTTGCCCAGAGACCCCATGGGCACCAATGGGGGCCAAACACCTGCCTGTGCCAGTGAAAGGGACCCCGCGATGTGGGGCTGGGGTTGGTCCCTGCTCCTTCCCAAGTGTCATACCTTTGCTGGGATTGCCCAATCTGGTTGAGGGGCAGCAGGTCCATCACTTTTCTCCTGTTTCACAGACCCCAAGTACCCAGACCCTTCCAGCCTGCCCCGATCCCAGCACTGCAGCTCTGCAACAGCTGCTAAAGCAAAGGAATATAGGCAGGAGCCTGAGCAAGGGCCCTGATACTCTGGGAGAACACAGAAGAGGGGGAGGACATCACTGCCTATCTTGCACCTATGTTAGAGATGTTGCCTCTCCACTAAAGAGCAAATGGGGTTGTCAGCTCCAAGACTGGCTCCCAACCTCAATTTGAGGGCCCCACTTCTGTGACAGAGCTCTGCTGCCCTGGCATGAGTGTTGGGCCATATCTCAGGAGGGATTTTGCCACTCCAGCTTGGGGAACCTGTCCGCACAGATAACAGCCGCTCTTGCCACTTTGACGTAACTATCAGCGAGTTGAACTTCTCCAGGCTTTGCCAGGGCTTGTTGATGATGCACTGCTTGGTCCCAGGCTGCAAGAGAAGCTTTCTCTTGTAATCCCTGTTGTTAGAGGCCTAATTAAAATGATACACATATTTCCATGGAACTCCTATCTCCCATGTCTCCCTGCCAGCCTTGAAATCAATGAACAAAGCAACACTACCCCACCTTGGACTGCAATGCAGTGTGTGAGCACACACAAGCACTTTGCACCCTGTATCCTGGCTGTGGGGAAAAGATCATTTGATCTGTTTTTTCCATCCAGGCAAAAGTGCCAAAAGCAGGCGGTGCAGTAAGGAATAATGCATGGGTCTGAAAACCAGTGGAAAGGCTCGAGGGCTAGTCTGCAGTGTGTGGGCAGAAGTATTGTAAGATCATAGAATCATGGAATCAACCAGGTTGGAAAAGCCCTTTAAGCTCATCCAGTCCAACCGTTCCCAGCACTGCCAAGGCCACCCCTAACCCATGGCACTGAGGCCTCGTCTCCACGGTGTGTGAACACTTGCAGGGACGGTGACTGCAGCCCTGCCCTGGGCAGCCTGTTCCAATGCCTGAGCACCCTCTGGGGAAGGAATTGTTCCTCAGCTCCATCTAAACCTGCCCTGGTGCAGCTTGAGGCTGTTTCCTCTTGTTCTGTCACTTGCTACTTGGGAGCAGAGGCCAACCCCACCTCACTACAACCTCCTGTCAGGTAGTTTCAGATAAACCACAACCCACTGCTTTCTTATTACAATAATAATCCATGGAGTGAAGGTAGCCTGCAAGCAGAGGTGGCCTTGCCTTAGCTTATGTGAAACAAATAGTTCAGTCCAGCTGGAACCAGCACACATTTTTGTAGGGTTTGTGGAATCACCTTCCAACCGGTTTAGGTTTTGCAAGAACCCTTTGCTGTCCCAGAGCCCTTAAGGACCTATTACAAACTCAGAGTCCCTCTACTTTGACTTGGACCCCCACTGCTGGGATGAGCTTGAAGACTTGAAGCAGGAGGACAAGCACTATGGTGGAAGATGTCTAAGACAGATTGTCTAAGACCTGGCCTGAGGTTGGCCAGGTCTCCCATGCATGTCCTCTACCAGCTAGGTATCACAAAGGCTTGTGGATTAGGGTGCAGAGCTCTTCCTGCCCAGTGGTCCTGTCCTACCAACC